GGCGGGGGGGCGCTGCCGACAGGTGCGCCCGGCGCCGCCGCGGCCGCCGCTGCCGCCGCCGCTGCCGCACCCCGCGCGCACTTCTATGGCCACAACCCCAACCTCAAACGTAAGTCCCCGGCCACTCCATTAGAGAAAATCTGTATTGAAGTATCCTATCGTCCTATCGTAAGAAACAGCTATCAGGAAGCCTGTGTGTCCTTCCATTACTTATGTTTAAAATCCCCAGCTGTTGCTAATTAGTTTTGGGCAAGCAAGGTCATTCTGTCGTTGAGGAATTTGATGCTCTTTTTTACCCTTCCTAACATAGGAGTATATAGAAAAAAAACTACCGTTTTTGTGATTAATTACACATGGCATTTCTCTAATGACAAATTGATTGAGACTATTTTTTGCCAGATCCCTGTAGATTATTCTGGGGGCAGAAGATAAAAGAACCTACAGTGGTGAAATCTTAAGATTTACTGTACTACCTTTCCACCATACTATGAATTGATAAATCAAACTAATGATAAAGAATCCTAATTTGGGGGAATGAAACTACGTTGGAATCAACCGGGACAAAAAGAACTAACATTTATGAATGTTTCTGTTCTATGCAAGATAGTTCTTGGCTCTAGTGATATTGATATTGGTATTTCGATCCTGAATCTTAATATTACTATAATAAATACTATATTCTGTAATACTATAATATACTATAATAAAATTACATGACTTTATTATAATTATTAAAGTACATTAATAGTTTTATGGCTTTTTCCATCCATTGTTAAACTGGTTGTGAAACTTGTAAAAATACTCATCCCCTTACTGCTTAGTGGCTGCAATCGGACTGCTTGTGTACTTTCAATGCACAACCCAGAGTATTAAGTATTTGATATCCTCGCAAGTCCTTCAGCAATGCATCTCTGGCTGAGGTGTCATGTTTCTCAGTGTGGGGCAGAGAGTACAAGAATAGGAATCATGCCCACCACACCCAGAGAGCCCAGAAATAGGAAATTCCCCCCAGCTATGCCTTGAGACAAGTGACCACAAGGTTTAAATCTACGCTGACAGTTGAAGCTCCTCTGCTTCACTCTCCAGCTGCTGGGACTTAATCCCTTATCATATGGACAGAGAATTTCAAGCAGACTTACAGATGCATTCATTCCATTAAGAATATCTCGTGTTTCTCTGCCAATTGCATTAAATACAAAGAAATTTGGTTTTGTACAGTTTTTTTACTTGCAGGACATGGCAAACTGTCTGGTTTTTCCTTTGGACAGTTCTTTTGATGCTGTGTAAAATGCCATTTTACTTCACAGGCTGGGGAAATTTTCTGATTTAGACAGATTTCACTGTATATCTATAGATTTTTTCTAACTTTTTATACCCAAGGATGGGCAAGCCAAGCAACTGTTTTATGTTTTAAAATTCCTTGTATTACGTTTTTCTATTACACTATGCAAACATTTTTAATATAAAAATACCAATTGGAGGTACTATGCTAAGCTTGTAAGAAATTTAATAAATTGTTAAATGTAATTTATATTGATGTAGGAACTGGGAGAGGTGCCTTAGGCCATTAACTGATGTCACTGCAGTGCTTCTGCCGCAGTGGTTCTGGGGTTCAAGTTCCAATGGTGGCAGCATTTTCGATACTATCCAGAGAGCTAGGTCGAGTTCTGTCGCTGTTCAGAGGACAATTCTATCAGTCGGCTGCTCACTGCCACTTCCCAAGCAAAAACATGCACTACACTTACGATACTATACTTATAAATTGAAGCGCCCGGAATTACTAGTAATCAATCACTGATGTAGGGAGTTTTTTTTTCTTTTTTTTTAACGGATTTAAGATAGTTTTGTGTCATTGAAAATATTATAAACACCTGTTGCCCCGAAAGCTTTCTGTAGAAAGGTAATCTTCTGGAAATAACTTTGTTGAAGTTCAGACGTGTTTTAAGTACCGTAAAAATTTGTTCCTTCGTTGCGTAGTGCCTCCCGAGCTGTGTCTGCTGGGCTGCGTGTTTCACGTGGCGGAATACGGCGAGCAGCCCTCAGCGCCCGCGAGCCCCGGCGCGGCGGCGGGGGCGGGGGCGGGCACGGGCACCACGGCCAAGGACGTGGCGCAGTGGGCGCGGGTGGTGCGCGAGCTGGGTGGAGAGGTGGAGGCGGCGTACGGCCCCCGCGTGACACACGTGCTGTGCGCCACGCAGCTGGCGCCCGCGGCCCGCGCCGCCCTGCGCGACGGCAAGCGCTGCGTCACAGCCTTCTGGCTGAGTGACGTGGTGCTACGCCAGCAGGTGCTGCCGCCCTGGCAGGCCCTGCACTTGCCCACGCCCTTTGGGTGAGTCGCCTTTTTCTCTTCTCCTTTCTTGGTCTTTGGCATCTTTTTTTTTTTTCTTCTTCTTCTTCCTCTGCGTTCCCTTCTCTTACTGCATTTCCTGCTCGTATTGTGCGTTCTGCTCCTATGTCCTGTCCTCTGCTGGCCTTGATACCAATAAATAATAATATTACTGGAATTTAAAACATCACCACCGACTTTCAAGCCCTCTGAAATCTCAGCATTATTGTTCCAGAAACAAGTGTCACTACATGAAAACTAAAGTGATGAAAATTCATGGGTAAAACATATTTAATTGGTTGACATAGGCTCATTGGTATAGTGTTCATGAGTGAAATAAACATTTTAAAATATGCCTAGGGTGTGTAGCAGTTCAACTGAATCAATATTGTTACGGTAATAAACAGTCATCTTTTTGACTTAAGCCACCACTCGTCATATAAAATTCTCTAAATTGAATTATTTATTTAAATTGTAAATATTTAAAATACATTTTCTGCTCATAGTAATAACTTCTAAATCAGACTTGTCGCAAATACTCTTATCATTGCTGTGTAGAGAGATGGTTAGGTTTTTGGGTTGGAAAATAATTGGAAAATTTGTGAATTAGGGCATAGACATTTTTCAAAACTTTTCAATTCATGTTTCATCGAGGCACTTCTTAATATCTTATTCGGCTACAGATGCTTTAAGGCAGAAAAATGAGTAATCTGCATGGAAAAGACAGGGAAATGATCCACGTGACAAGCGGGCACCCTCGTAGTTTGATTTGATTTATTTTCAAAAACAAAGAAGAAAAAAGTCAAAACTGTGATATATCGGTGATAGGTATAATCCGGGCCCGTTTTCTGTGGCTCAAAATCTCGTCCCCCCTCTTAGTAGTTAAATGAAGATGAAAGTGGCAAGAGGGAGAGTTCAGCGGTGTTGTTTTGACGGGCGGCAGGGCGGAGGCGCGGCCGCTGCGCGGGCAGGTGCTGGCGCTGTCGGGCTTCGAGGGCGCGGAGCGGGCTCGCGTGGCGCACATGGTGGAGGCGGCGGGCGCGCGCCTCACGCGCTACTTCTCCTCGCACAACCACGCGCTCGTCTGCAAGCGGCCCGACGGCGCCAAGTACCGCAAGGCGCGCGAGTGGGGGCGGCCCGTGGCGAACGCGCAGTGGCTCAGCGACCTGCTGCTGGGCCAGCACCACCCGCCGCCGCCGCCCGACCTGCCCAAGTACCAGCAGTTCAGCCTCGGCAACCCCTTCCGCATCGAGGTACATGTTGCTTTTATGGAATTACTCTCGTGAGCCTGAATCGACAATTTCCGTCTCTTAAATTCAAGGTTGCTGCTTTCTGGAAAACCAGAAAAATCAGGGAGTTTGTGCAAGAATCGTTAGAAGTGAGGAAAAATTTCGAGACTGTTATAAAACTTGCTAATATTCCTTAAAATAGTTGGTACAGAGTTATTTTTGCTCAAGTTTCATTTCTTGAGAAATTATTGTTAATTTACACTCTGCCAGGGTAATATCAGAACAGATGAATTAATGTTAAACTGACTTTAATATTTTCTTTAATTAGTGTGAAATTGCAAATCCTAAAAGGGAGAAAATGCATTAGTCAGAAAAACTTGTTTCAGAAAATTAGAGTTTATCCTGAATTGCAAATCAGACGTGAGAAAATGATTGAGACTATTTCAAGCCTTGTGGTTTGCTGTGCGGTGCTACCTGCAAGTGACAAGGGGCAATCCATAAATTACACAATGCAAATTTAGTGTTTTGAATTCTTCCCTTTTACCCTGCAACGTGTGCTTGAACTGACACCAAATAATTACATCATGCTTGCAACAAGGCCTCCATTTCACCATTTACAATAAGTGAAAATTCATTATAAAGTGGGTTGTATTAATTAGTTACGAGTTATATTAATTTTGTTTGTGTTATATATTAGAATATGTGACAACTTAAGTTGGAATTAGCTCGTGATTCAAACTGCTAATTACAATTTGATGGGGTACAATATTGAACGGAGAAATGACGGGGAGACGAGAAAATTGCTGACAACAAGGCCTGCACAAGCTGTCGTAGATATGCATGTACCAGTCTACAGTGTCAATTTAATTGTATTTTAGAATTTACTATAGATCAATTTTAAATATTTTATTCATAATCAATCAATATACCATTAAGGAAAACATATTTACATTTATTGTAACAATTTATGCATCATAACTTTAATTTAATATTTTAATATAAGACTGAGAGGAATTATTTCAGCAAATGTTGGAAATAAAAAAAAAATATGCGCATTATATAACTCAAAAGTATGACCTCCCTACCCCTATGTAGCGAAACACTGCCTAAAAACCCCTTCCCCCTCTGGCATTACATAATTTATGGACAATCCCCAAAGATAAAGCTCAAGCAATGCAGTGATATGGTATAAGTAGATGTGATGGATGAAGTTTTTTACAGGTATCTAAAGGATGAAGCATTCTTAGTTAAATCACAATCTTATATTAAATTGTCAGGAAAAAAGTCTTCAGGGGATAACAAGGAGCGATACAAAAAGAAATGTGTTGTAGAAATATTGGTTTTTTTGTAACACGTTTGGACATAGACCTAAATACAATTGAATTATCTCCTCTTAATAGGCATGCACAAACCACTCTTGGTTATAAGCCAAACCGATCAAACTCAAGTAATGCTTAGGTTAAAAAGGAGTTTTTCATTATAACTAAGTTAAGAATGGAGAATTTTCCTTGTGTACTGCTAGCGCGTTGTACGTAATTGCGCGTTCGGTGGCAGGTGGCGCTGGTGCCGCAGCTGATGGCCGCGTGGAAGGCGCCCATCAACATCACGCAGGAAGCGTTCGAACGGGCGCGCGCCTCCCTGCCGCCGCCGCCGCCGCCGCCCGGGGCAGGGT